CCGATTATCAAGATTCGAGCTTCCTGGCCATTTATCTGCGCAAACTCTCCAGCGACGACCATAAAGACGATCAGGGACAGCGCTACGCCCGCATTCGAGTTGATCAATTTGGCAGTGTTCGAGTTCGAGGCAAGCTGAAATGGATTTACGTGCGTCAGGACCAACAGGCACAAAACCAAATTGGCTTTTTCCCGCAAAATGTTTTGCAGTTGCGCAATGGCCCTTCGACTCGTATCTATACGCTGCAACGCACTGTGGCCGTCGAAGATGCCACACGTCCAAGTCCTCTTTACCTCAGGCAATCTTCACGTAGCTGGGTCCCTGAGCCGTGCTCACTTGCCTACCGTCTACGCAAAGGAGCAACACAGCTGACCGTGGGTCTCATTTTCACCAGAGACGATGGTGAAGCGCTCGCGGTTCTGGTAGGCTCCGTCAGCGGCTTCGAGGTGGGTTTTGGCGCCATAGAGCTCGACTCGGAAGAAAGAGAGCGGATGATGGAGTTGACTCTTGAAGATCTGGAAGACTTGGCGGTACTTTCGACGTCAGGAAGAATTGAGACAGAATTTCACAGTGTGCGCTGCTCGACCACTACAGTCGTGCAGAACGCGCACAAATATTATCTGATTGACATCGGTATCGAAGATATCAAGCGATCCTTCCGACTCCGGGACTTTGGCTGCAGAGGCAGAAGAGATGCTTGGCCGTGTCGTTGGGACAGATGACGACCCTCCTGACCTAGAACCCACCGGCACAGAAAGCAACAGCTTCATCGAAAAATCCAAACCGTCGACGAAGTGGTTTCACCGCCTGCGCCGGTCACAGAAACAAAGTGATTAGGGTTCAAATATTTATTTGCTTGAAACTTCAATGCTTTAATAAGGATTTATATTGGTATTCTCGCTAAGGTCGAGTGCGGATATCTTCCCTTTCAAGAAATCTAATGTCCTCAGCTCTTATCAGGCAGTTCGCCAAGGGCCACGGACGCGTCGTCCTGTTCAAGTCTAGACTCCTCCAGTTGGCAGTGTGTTTGTGTTGACGATGTAGGTTTCCAGCGGGGCAGCGCTACAGTACTCTCGGCGAAGATTTCCAGATATCTGCACAAGCGCTCAAATTACCAAAACGGGCTTCATTTCGAAATGCACATGCCTCACTAGTCCACGCACCTAGGTAGTAGGGTCCCATTACCTCACTCAGCTTATGAGGTGTCTAGTATGTGAAACGTCAACAGACCAATAGCATTCATGACGAGTTACCACTGTTCTGAAATCCCACAAAAACAACGAGCACAGCTGCGTAAGCTGCGGTGCTAGAGAGTACGTCCAGAGGTTTATCCAACGCCAACGATGTGAACAGCCCGAAAATGCCCACACAGACCGTCGTGGTGACAAGTCCCGTATAAAGCGAGTTGTGCAGGACCATTAGCCACATCGGGCCCACGAGCAGCGCGCCACCGATGATGGCTAAGACGATGCGGTGCGCAAAGTCCTGGATGCCTGTCCGCCGGAGAATATTCGGTCTTGTATCGGGTATGGGTCTCATTTTCCCTTCTGGTTCCCAGGATTCCTTGGCAGGTGCCTTTTCTTTGTCCAGATCCAGCAAATGATGGGGTTCAGCATCAATGATGGAAGCTGTCACGAGTCGGTCGACCTCGCGTTCGCCAGTTGCTACAAAGACGTCGCGTGGCTTTTTGCTATAGTCCAGCATGTAATCGTGGTCTTTTGCAGCTTGTACTACCAAGAAGTTAGTATGGCAGCATTGTGTACCCTGGGCAGATAGGGCTTTACTGACTGTAAGTGGCCAGGTCTTCCTCCCACCCCCGAGGTTCTGTCCCAAACTTGGATATGTGCACAGCATGTTTGATGACTTGTACCTGTAGCTTTCGCATATGCAGTCTCTGCAGCTCCGCAAAGCTGATTCGAAAAAGGCGACCCGACTTCGACCATTTCTGGTCAAGGAGTTTTGACGATAGAAACAGACGTGCGACACCAGCCGGAAGAATCCAACGCACAATAAGATCCAAAATTGGGTTTTCCAAGCGTTCCCCATCGAGTTCCTTCACAACATTCGTCTGATGATGCTGCAAGACCCACTCTTTCAATGGACGCCCCTCGAGGAATGGATTCGGCGTCCCAGGGTCTGTCTCGAATACGACGGTTTGAGATCTACTGGGGCTGGTGCCTCTGCTTCCTGACCTCACAGACAGCCTCGCAGAGTTCGCGTGATGGACTTGCGAAGGAGTGACTGCCTGGAATTTTCCTAGGTCTGGATTGGCCAGCGGCGCTTGGATGGGATTCTGGTTTCGATCCCAACTACCGGATCTCTTGGGCCTCTCCACACGTGAGACAGGAGCAAAGTCGTGGGTTTCAATGCCATTTCTCTCACCATTCTGTCCTTGGTCTACATGAAATTCAGTAGTGTGAAGAGTCTGGCGTGGGAAGTTCCGTACCTACCATTGTTGCTTTCGGTGGCTTTTTCAACGTAAGCCTGATAGCGTGACTCTGCATCTGACTTTCTGTCGGAGCTGCTAGAAGACGTTACTGAGCCGACAGACATCGAAAAATTTGTGAGCCACCCGGGCAGTATTCGACGGCTGTGGCCTTTTATTAAAGCGTCAGGAGGAAAAGCCTCAAGCGCAGCTCCAGATAATAACATCTGACGAGACCAAAAGGGCCACGTACCTGACGGGGCGTCTGTATCAGCAATTTGTCGCCCAGTAATAGCACAGCATAAGCACATCGTATCTGATCCAATTAACAAACGATGTACTAAGCCTCACTGTGAATTGCATATTCGCATCGTTTCTCGCGATTGGCAATTCGGCATGGTGGCTGGCCCCTCTTCAGCACAAGCACAATGCACCCGCCGTCGCATCACATCCAATTGTGCATGAAGGACCAATATATCTATCGCGATAGGCGGCAATAAGGCTTCATTGATCACAAGGTGGCTTGCCCAGGCATGTTCTGCATGTGAGCCCCGCTCGCACGGAGCCTCGATGGCAGGACTAGGTATGAGAATGCATGCTTACTAGATTGCAGCACTTGTTGGTAGGTATGGTTTTATTCCCCATTCCACTCATTCACTCCGTTATATTACCCGAGACCACATTTTGCATCTGCTTACTGCACGTCTTTCCAACTGCCTCATCTACAATTTTGTAAAATAAACTTGCCGGCTTCCACGCACCGTGTTGCCGACCATATCAAATCTAGAGTCTTCTATTAATGCCCCTGCGCAAGTCACCTGAAGCCACTTGAAGGCAAAATGGCGAAGGGGGACTGCGGATGTGAAGATGAAATCCATTTCCAGCACACCCTTGGGGTCTCATTCTACCAACGTCGTATGGATATCGTGTTTCCACATCGCGCCTGGGCTGTGTCTTTCAAGGCCTTTCTGAACAACAATGAATTTCATCGCAATATGCGGACTGAATTCGTCAAGAAGTCCACCAGAGACGACTACCTGCTGCAACTATGGCTTCCTGATTCATTCCAACATTTAAGCGTCAAGTACCCACAGGACGGTATCAAGCTCGTTTTCGATAGCGATGGTTCAGCCAAGGAATGGGAGGAGAATTCAGGTGGATTGTTTTGTGTAAAGATGACCGACCCTCGGGACGAGACAAACGAGTTGCGACTTCGTCAAAACTGGTCTGTTGAAGAATGGACGGCTAAGTTTCCACTGGAACCAAAGAAGGTCGCGAAAGAAGCTCACCCGGAGGGAGCATCCTTCGCGGGATCTATTAAATCTCATCCTGTAAGAAAGTCTAGGCACAAGAAGCCAAAGCAGGCCATGGCGAGTGTGGCGAAGTCCACATCCCCATCAGGGTCGGACAGAGAATAGCCCATCATCCCATGAAACCAAGGTTAGGTATCATCCCACAACCTTGGCACATTGTTTATTGCAAATTTTAGGAATTCGTAGGCAGTGGGAGGAGGAAGGCCTGAACAAGCTTCAAATTCAATGCCATTTTCGGCGCTTCAAATCGTTTCCTGGCATGGAACTATAAGTCTTACGTGATTGCAAATGGGAGCTGTCCCGAAACACCTATGCGGGCGTCTCCAGGAACTGTTAGCTAAACATGTTCTGGCTGACAGGTGTATTGAACTGTACTTAAAACTGAAACGCATTCTTGTGGCCCAGTAAATTTACACATGACAGGATCTAGCCCAGGTTCCTAGCGTCCGGACGATCCTTGGTTGCACAGCAAACGAGGCCCTACCGAACGAGCTGGTCGATCTCATTGCACACCACTCGCTCACGACTGATAAGGGACAAATGGCGTACTAGTACGTCCTAAAGCAAAGTAATATGTAAGAAGCACTCTCGTAGATAGATGAAAACCAGGAGTCGCTTCCAGGTTGCAAAGCTTGTGCTCAAGGACCTCTGGAGCTGGAGTGAAACCTCATTCCGGCCTTGTTGGTCAGCGGTATGAAGGGCTGGAAAGCTAGATGGCAAGAGAGAGTTAAGTCACTAGTACGACTGCTCAAATTCCACTGTCATAAATTCCACTGTCATTTTACTGAAAGTCTATTCTCGTCCGCCGTGTTGTTGGGCCAGAGATTGACCCTCTTGACCTTGAGGCGACCGGCACAGAAAGCAGCAGCTTTATCGAAACCCCAAATCGTCGACGAAATGGTTTCATTGCTAAGATTAATCACAAAATGAAAATTCAAATTAAGTCTTAAATTGCTTTAAACTTCAATGTATCAGTAGGTAAAAGACTATATATTAGCATGCTCGCTAAGCTCGAACACAGGATGTTCCCCCTCTCAAACAACCCAAGATTACATTTCCACACAAAGCTGCTACTAAGGCGTTTGTACCACGAATCTGAATACCCTCGTAGCGTACATGTCAACGCCAACACAGGACATTGATTCCTTCCTGTACCCTTTCATAGTGTTTACCTAATTAGCTTCATCCTATTCGTTGATGCTTATCCCGGAAACGTGAGAACGCTCATCCTGCAGAAGAGAGTTGAAAACTGACAAAAAGAACACCGATAAGGAGGTTTGAACTCCTGTCTTTGGAGGTTTCCAGATTCTGAAAATCCAATATGCTAACCTGCAAAGTTGTTAGACTCAGGAGACAAATGAGAAGCAACAGTATAGAAACTTACCACTGCACCATACCGGTTGGTTGTTGATTGTTATAGCTCATGGGTGTGCAGAGACTAATGAGGTGGCCGCCTACGAAACAAAAATGAGACTGCCAGCCTGCAGGTAGGCCATCCTCGTGATTTTCAATGGACGGTATTTCTCCTTGTGAATGATTGGATTATGCTAGCAAAGGCCAAGGGCTTCACAAATGTTGCAACAGCAGTGTATGGGCCCATACCAGCTCTGTCATACCGCATTGTCGTTCAATGAGCACATTGCTTCTGAAATTTGGGCATTGCTGACTTGGACAGCACATTGTACACTTTGCTACTAGAAACCTGGACACTGGAGAGAAAGGCGGTTCTGATTGAGCACAAGTTTGACAAGCTGACAGTGTTTTCGTGCGAGATTGATTCTTCCGTGTCTACATAATCTACCCTATCCTGTAGTCGGATTTAATCCCACAACCGGCACCCGCTGATGGGCTATGGCTCATCTTTCTCTGAAACTTGATATCTGCAATACGGCATCAAAGCCGGCTAAGTTCATGACTTCTGCGTCCACTCCGGGCAATAGCCTGAACATGCCCTGAAATCCAATGTCAAACGTCTGCTCGCCCCGCACCTTCACGGTAACCTTACCCATTACAAGCGAGCAGATACGGATATTTTCAACGTCAGGCTGTATTCGAAGTGTTGTCCTCGGCGTAACGACGTCTACGCGGAAGCTGAAAGATTTGTCAACTTTAGTGATTTGAGTCAACTTCGGCGATTCCGCGACAGCTGATTTCTCAACGTCCTTGGCCCGAGGTGCTGTAGGTTTCAGCGTTATCTGTCCTCGAACATCGTTCTGCGTTACGTTGCTCTTGAGCCTCATCGAGTGCCGAGTGCGAGTGTTTTGGCCATCTTCATTCCCGACAATCCTCAGTGGCCTCTCCGAGCGACGAGGACCCAGCGGCTGGTCACTGTCAATGCCCCCGTCATCTGATGAATCGGTGTCGGCGATCGGCAAACTAGCTTCCATCGCGTTGTTCTGCGGAAGAGCGGCACTCGGAGCTGTAGCTCCTCCGGCAGTCTTCAGCAGCTTCTTGACATCGCAGCTTTTATGGTTGACGCTTTTCCAGCTGCAGTTGACACAGGCACAGATACCACTTTGCAGCACATTGGCCACGTCTTGCGGCACCACCACACAGCTCGAGAAAATCCCATAACCATTTGAACACCTTTTACAATTCGTGGGGGACTCGGGGCCGGTCAGCTGGACGATGACCAGGGAGGCGTCTTTTGGCCAAAGAATGCTGAACTTTTTGGTTGCGGTCGGATTGAGCTCAATGTCACGAACGCGACGCAGCGATAGGAGCTCTTTCAAGGGGCCTGACTGAGGCGGTGGAAATCTCTTTTCGGTGAAAAGACCCTGAATAATATCCCAATTTTCTCGCGCAAACGGACTCGTCAGGTCAGTGGCGTATCGTAAGTCAACACCAGTCTCATTGTCGACGGGCTCAATTGTCCCTCCGACCTCAGAGTCTCCTGCCGACGTCACTTCGGCCCCCGGCGCATCAGAGTCGGATGATGTGACTGCGTCGGAGAGCTCAGAAGATTCTATGTCTTCCTTCATAGATTGAGCAGCCGATGATATCCTGCGGGCTAGGATCTCGTCCATTGTTGGCTTCGCCTTCAGAGGTCTCGCCGCCTTGTTCTTCTCCCATTCTGCTATGCTGGCTGCCAGATTGATCTGTGCCTGTGTGTTATGGGGCGAAGCATTCGGCTCAGCTCGAGGGGGAGCGCCGGGAAACAACGGGATCTTCGATTTGATCATTGTCGTTCTGTGGTCCTGCTTGCCACCACGATGGTCTTGGCGGCCAAATTCAGTGAAGGTACCATCTCCATTGTCATTGAGCAAGCTGCCGGGGTGTGCAGCCTAGAGCATGTCAGCGACGATTTGTCATTGGACTAGCAAGGCATGAAAAACATACAGAGAAGTGGCCACCCAGGCTCTTCAACGAAGGCACAATGCGCCCGCAGGTCCGTATAGGGCAAAGCCATTCAAACCCGCGAAAATCAGTAAGCCTATAGTGCACAGGTAACGGAACGCCCCATGTATGGACGAGGGTACCCGTGTCATCTTGACGGAGACAATAAGGTTAGCACGCAGTAATTTGAGCGGAAAAAATGGAATTCGTCCTTATCAGGCCATTCTCTGTATGATCGAATGGTTGTGGCCATTGTAAGGTCTTTAGGTATGATGACTTGACCGCTGACGCCACTTTCATCGGAGACACGATTGTGCCTACTGCCGGTCATTGACTCCTCCTTTTGGTTCTCAATCTGAATCGAACGGCTTTCTGAACTAGGTTGGTACTCCTCTTTCTCCATTTGAACTTGGCGATAGCTGCGGGCCTCGACCATAGGCGGCTCCTGGGCGTCTAACGGAAATTGACTGATGACCAGGGCATTGGCCAATTGGACACTGTAGGGCTCGTAATCCCCTTTGATGCTGAAAGTCCCGTCATTATTGTCGTTGAGTAAACACTTGCGATGAGTTCGCTGTGGAACGTCAGCAACAACCTTCCCGAGAAAACAAGCCTATGATAACATACTGCCCAGTGAGCATCCAAGCTGGACGATTTGTGGAATGCATAGCGGCATGAGCGAATTGGACAAACCCAGGGCAAGCCAGGTACGTCAGAATAGAGCGCTGCATTGTAGTTTCCTGGCAGGAGAAGGAAAGACACATCTTTCTGCCGTCGTCCGGACTTGTCTGGTATAACAAGGGTCATTGACGAGTCAAACAAAACGGGACGAACATACGTGTGCAAAGATAAAGTTAATTGTTCCCAAACTTACCTACGACTGTGCTGTACAGCCTTCCGCCAGCGTCCGTAGTAAAAACCTCAGACTGTTGTGACGTTCTCTGTTGGAGGGCAGAAGAGGTAAACCGTGCTCTCTTTCCGAAGAGCTCGCGTCTGGCCGGTCGAACAGTCTTCTTCAAAGGATCATCTTGCACCTTCGTAGCCCATCTGGGATCCTGCCTGATATTTGAAAACTTCGTCCGAATGGCAGCACAGGTATGCCTTGGAATGGCCTGATCACGGGAATCTGGTTAGCCTTGTCCAAGCATTTGGCTAAGACGTATTAGTGGCCTTCGCGACCATTGACAAACGGACCTACCTCAAATACTTCCTCCCAAGGTTTATCTTGTCGTTTCAAATCCATCAAAAGCTGGAGTTCTTCGTCGAACCAAATCACCACACCGCCCTTTCTTGAGGCACCCAAATTTGCGTTACTGATTGCTCCGCTTCCCTGTGACCTCGAAAGATCAGCGGAACCATCATCTCGTGGCCGTGGACCAGTCGAAGCCTCGCCAAAATCAAGATGTATCTTGTCCGGGCGCTTGTCACGGAGCTCCGAAGTGAGACTAGATTCCACTGACATTGTCTTCGTGGCCGTCCCAGGCTCGTTCTCGTTCTTTGGCATTGTAGTGTTATCGTCAGATACCGGAGAGCGAATCTTTTTAAGCTGAGACCGCTTTAATTTCTTGATACGCTTAAGCTTATTTTGAAGGGCGGGCAAACTGTATTTCGGAAGGATCTGATGCATTTGTGAAATTAGTGATGCAGTCAACAACGCAACGTCAAAGCATTTTTTTTACCCACCTCTTGTATAAATGCCCATGCATGACCGTTCTCGTGAGCTTTGAGTAGACGTGCTACGTCCTCTGGCGGCCACGTACCGCTACCGGAGGCATCACGCGCTACGCTTTCATTGTCTGGTGCATCACAATCAGAGGATTCTGGTGACATGGATGAGTCGAGCAAAGGCGATGGTGATTGGCTAAGCTCTACAGGGAGTTCGGACTTATTCGAAGTCCTAGCGTCGCCCGCTGCAGATTCATGTGAGGTAGAATCCGAAATGTGTGCTAGTGGGGCAGGTTGAGATGAATAAGATGGCGACGAGACGACACGGGCGTGTCCGTTCTCATCAGCCTCCAAGATGAGTTGTAGCCGCGGTCTCTTTGGTCGAGCATTTGCTGTCATTTCCCCGTGGATATCACTCCCGCTGCTTCTAGCTGGATTGTGGAACTCTTCTTCGCGGGACCGCAGGGAAGAGGAATAGGAAGTCTGCTCAGACAACGAAGACTCTATGTTTCTGTGAGTCGGGTTGTGGCTTGCCGCAGCATGCTGTGCGATATTGACCTGCTTGATGTCCGTGTGGTGATCGTAGCTTGTCTGGCTGGAATGGTTGATAGTAGCTGAGACTATGCCATCATGGGTTGTGGGAGCCTGGTCATCGCGCTGCGCCTCTGAGATAGAACGTTTACGGAACACGACGCCACCTATATGATTTCTGCCAAGAGCATCGTCGCCGCCAGTCCGTCCGGCAGGATTAGCACCCTCGACCATGATACCCTGTGCATGATGGTGTTCGGACCTAGTCTTCGATTGTCCAAGTTCAAGACTTGCAGCTCCAGCAAGTTGGCTCATACCATTGGCCACAACTTCGGTAGATCTGCTATAAGCCTGTCTCATTGAGGACAAAGCTTGCTGGAGGTCGTCCACCACAACGCTCTGACGCTTGTCCGGGGGAATTTTATTGTATACCTCTTGTGGTTTCATTTGCGACTCAATGTACCTGACCTGACTGTGAGACAGAGCTGGGTCGTAGAAGTACGCCCAGTCCGGCAATGGCCCTTGCGATGAATCGTTCCCTTCAGTAGGCGGCATCGTGGGTGACAAGCTCGCAGCGAGAGTGGCAGTGGGCACTTTGTCATCGCTCGAGGCAACGGGATTCGCCAGTAGTGATGATGGGCCTTGGCGTTCGAGAGATACCCTATGATCAATTGGCCTGGCCAAAGACCTGACATCCGAGTCGACAGTGGCGGTCTGTGTTGGAGTCGTCAACTTCGAGTGCAATCGTTGCGGAGAGCGATATATTGAAGGGACTCCTTCTGGGAGCTGCGGGACACTTGCACTATTAGGAGAGGGCACATTGGCGCGTGGCGCCATATTTGCCACATCTGCGTGTACTGGATCCTCCA